TCTAAAAACTCCCCCCCTTCGGGGGGCTGTTACGAAATCATTTTTCGACGTAGAGGGATGATTCTGGTACCGTTGGATGTGTCAAAAAGTAAGCTTTAAGATGAGCACAAAAACCGGAAAACGCCAAAATGGAAAATTTTAGGGTAGCCGGTCCCCTTAATTCAGTAACCTGACTTATCATTGCTTCTTGTTTTAATATAGTTGGATGAACTATATACTTTTTTTTTTTTTTGGATGTTTATCATAGATAAAGTTCAAGTAGGATTATGATCTAAAAGCAAATGTAGACTAAACCTTTGTCATTGGATTTAATTTTTTGTCTTCACTGCTAATTACATTTGCATATATAATGGCATTAAAAAAATATTAGTATGATAAAGCTCCTGATATATATATCAGGAGCTACTCTATGATGTAAAATTTTTATATGTCTATTTATACAAAGCTAATTACAATATTTAAGCCCTTGTGTAATGGAATCTTAACTATATGTACATTATCAGGTGTATGAAAATCATGTAATTATTGCTTAACCAATCTTTCAGCAGTGAAAGTTGATTAGTTTCACAATATTTTGTTAATTGAGTGCTAAATGAGTTGGCCAAGGCTAATTCATGGTTGGTAACTGTTCCACTTGCAGCCACATGGCTGCAAGTGGTGAGGGAATTTCACAAGTGGTGGTAAATCATATTACTTGCTTTTTAAGGTGAGAGTTTGTTTTGAACTTAGTGCTGACATTATACATTTGTGTTGCACTTTTATTTAAGAAAAATTTTTGCTACCTTGAATTTTAAACAGCTTTGTTGCGACTTACGGTACTTGCTATTACCTTTGTAACTCCTCCTGAAATAAGTGCAGTGGTCTGTTTTGCTCGTCTTTTGGAATTGCAACCCATGAATCTGAGCTTCTTAACTTCCAAGCACCTGACATAATGTTAATTGAAGAAGTGTTTGTCTAAATTCTCTAGAGGCTTCTTGTTACATTAATTGATTCCTACTGCCAATTGTTTTTACAAAAAAGAGCTTTGTTGTCAAATTAGTTTTTTATGCCAGTGAATACAGACAGTTCCAATGTATGCATCTTATCACTATTTTGGCCATTTAAGTATAAGCAAGGGCCTTCATAAAACATTTTTCAAATATTAAAAATTCAATAGTATCACCTGATTCAACCTGAAATATTTTTTGCTTATTCATGTATTCAAATTTCTCTTTTTATTGAGTAATATTTTACCTTTAAACTTGAAAATAATTTAACATTGTCAATAGTTGCTTCATATAGGTACTTATTTTTCAGTTGCAAGGGAATTGTTGCATGGTTGGTCTAAATTTGTTTACTGAATGGCCTTGATTGGGGTTTGCAAGGAGATTGAACCACTCTTTAACATTCAGTGATGTCAGTTTCAAATTGCCAAACTCATGCTTATTAAAATTTTTTTCTCCAGCATAGCATATATGTCTGGAGGAAAATATGATGACTAATTTCTATTTTCCAGACTGGGCAAAAGTCTCAAAAAAATTCCCTAAGATTATTCCAAGCTATTATTAGCATGGCAGTGGCTAAGCATAAGCATGGCAGTGGCTAAGCATAACTTGTTTTCAGTTGCCTATGGACCATGGACAGAAGAAGAGATGTTGCGTCTTATCAAAGGAGTGGTGTGCACCTGGAACAAAGTGTCTACTCAAAACCACTCCCATTCTCTCAATGGCATTAAATGGATGATAGTATTCCTTTTTGTTAGAGTGAGTTGTTTTTAAGTGCAAAAGTTCCCTAGAATTCATAAGCATTTTATCTCCTTAGTTTTGAACATCATTCCTATCAATCAGCAGGGAGTAATAATGATTATCATTTTGTTCCATGAAGGTTTTGCATGAACAAGTACAATAGTTGAAAATTTTCAAAAAAATTTTTCAAAAATTCCACAAATTAATTCTTCATGGATAAGTGACCCTATTACATGTATTTAAAATTATATATATTCATTGCATTGGAAAATTGCTTTTTCTAGTATTTTCTGTAAAAATTCAAATCTATTCTAGTATTCTTTAATATGACTGTAGCCTGTTTGGCAATTTCTAGTATTTTCTATAAATATTCACGTACATGGCTGTAGCCTCTTTTACAAAGAAGGCGACAGGTGTTGCTGCTATTTTGACTGCTGTTTTATTCAATTAGATTCATGGAGTCCTATATTGTTGATTCTGTGTTAAAGGCATCATTAAGTTCAAAGATGCCAAATGTTGAGGAAGCTTATAAAATTTTTTTTGTGTTCAATTGCATTCAAAGTTTTTTTTCAGAGGATCTGATTTAGCAACATTAAGCTATTTTTCTGGATAGGATTTGACTCAGCCGCTTTTATTTCTAATTCATAATAAAAATGTTCTAGCTAACATTGAAATAGATTTGGGAGTGATTTGTTATTAAAATATTTCATTGCATAATTTGTATCAATACTAAGCTTTCCTGCCAAGGACTTTTTTTGCAGACACGCACGCCCAAAGCCTGCTGTGAAGCATATGTAAGCTTTGCAAAGCAAGCTTTGCACGTGCATCACTACAAGCTGAAGCACCCAGATGCTGAGGATCTCCCAAAGTGGACATCTAATCATGAATTGATGCTCATTAAAGAGTAAGAGAATAATTTAGGACATTTAGATATCTTATAGGCTGTTTCAACTTGCTTTTCCTATTAATTTCTAGATACCATGTTCCAGAAATGTATCTTATTGTGTACAATCATTTAGGTTAGTTATTCAATCCAAGTTTCTCTTTATGATGATAGTCCTGTCACTGCCATCACACAAAAAAAAGCTCACCAAAGTTCATTTGGCAGTTGAGTTTTTTGTTAATTTTACTCATTGTTAATATGTATTTTTTGTATTTTATTAATTTGATTTAATTAATTGAATTTGAAAATTTTATCATTGGTGACAATTCATTATCTGTATTCAAGCATTTGAGATTGTCAATGACTGCAGATATAGCATTCATTAAACTTATCTATTAACATTATATTTTAATTCAACTTTTAGTTGATAATCTCATTTGATATTTTCCTTTGTATTTCTCTGGTTACATTTTGTTATGATACTTTCTTTGTGACATTTCTTTATTATTCACAACCAACTTCTCTTCCTGTGTCTTCATAAGGAATGATTTGAACAAAATATTCTATCCAGTTCATTATCAACTGAATGAATCAGGAAGAAGTACTTTGATTAAACTGTGGTTCATCAGTAAATGATTTCACTGATTGTATTTAACTCCTGCTTGGCTTGCAATGAGAAGAGCAACATGTGCTGCATCTTCCTTGTTTTGATGCATTCCTTGTCTGTGATCTGGCTCAAGAGAATAGAAGAGTAAGAATCTAATTTTGGGTTGAAAATTTCCAATATCATTTGCAACTAAATACTCTCATTGATAGCATGCACTGAATTGTTGAGCAATGCAATTTTTGAAGCTCTGTGGTAACATAAAAGATTCATTCAAAAAGTAGTTATATGAATCACGTTTTTAAAGTATGGTGAACACCATTTTGACATGAAATAATATGCATTTAAAAATTACTTTTTAAAGACAACACTTCTAAAGAATACAGTGTCTCCAATGTTACACATCTGCAGTGAATTTCCAATTTTACTTCCATATATTTAAAAAATTAGTTTACATTTTTTTAATAAATGAAAAAATAATAAATTTTTTAATTTTTCAAATTATATATTGTGTCAATTGATTCATGCATTGTCTCTGACTTTACGCAAATGTACAAAATTTCAGATCAATTGGAAAAGTAGAAGTGTGTTATATATTGATTATAAGATTTATAGCAGACAGACAAACAAACAACAAGAAGTGAAGTTAAAGAGAAGTATTGTAATAAAAATAAATGAATTTAATATTAATAATAGTGATAATAAATATTAATTTATTTATTATTTCACTACTTCTTTGCTACTATTTACCCTAATTTACTTATATACATAATTCCTTGCCATTAATCTTGAGGTATTAATTGTATCTCTGCACCAGCTTTTGTAAGCCATTGTCAAAAAAGCCTGCTACCTGACTAGAAAATGAAACAATACAATTTCAAAAGAACACTTCTTGCGATGGCAAGAAACTTTTAAGCTAACAACAAAATTGTGAGTTGTCTGTTCTCTTTCACTTAACAGTCCACTTTTTCTATCAAATTGTTATTAAAGACTGAAGGTCTCTCACTTTGTTGTACATCATGAATGTTTTTGCTGCCATTTTTAAAGGCCCTAACCAATTTCCACACTATTCCATCCCTCATAACATTTTCTCCATGCACCTCACTGAGTTAGAGATGAATATCAACTGATTTATACCTTGAGCACAGAGAAGCCGTACAGTATTACAGCACAAACTTTACAGCTGGCAGGATTCTCAATATAGGTGAAAGAATTCAAAATTATGTAAACAGATGCAACTACAGGGTGTGCATGCCCTGAACAGCCTCTGCAGAGCTGCGGTGGTGTAATTTAAAATTGGTACTGATTCTAAAAAATGCCTTTTAATTATTAATGTTGCTCCTAAAATCTGAAGTGTCTGAATAATAAGTAAATTAACTTTATCCGCTGTTATCTAACTCTTTATACATTTCTTATTGTGTAAATCTTTCATTTAAGAATATGCATCTGCTTCACTTCTTTCTGTATTGGACATATATACAATTTTATTGGTTCAAAAATTAATTTATCTTGTGGTGTTCATTCTAGAATTTTAAAGTGCAATTCTAGAGATAATGCATACTCTATTTGTGGAACCTGGCTTCTTTATATTTATCTTGATATATATATTCTTGCTTCTAGGCAGAAATTTATGTACAAGCCTGAAGCTCTAAAAAATACATGATGGAAGTGATACAACATATTCGATCACATTTTAAAAAAATAATTCCGAGTTTAACTTATAATTCTGCCTTATAATTCTGTTCTTCTTGTCTTCCGTCTAGTATCAATTGATGAATTATTTTGTTTAAAGGATGATCAAATCCCCGGCCATGACGCTGTCAGTGATGGACTTCAGGTCAATGATGGTCCTACCGGAGTTTGAAGGCTTCAGTGCCAGCTACCTGCGGCGCATGGCGCGTGATGCTATTGCTGCCTGGGTGCCTCTGCCGCAGCGGCGCAACCTCGACGGTATCTTGCTTGTTTCCACTCTACTTGCTCCTTCCTACTCTCTAAATGCTATATCACTTATTGCTGCATGCCGCTGATTTAGTTTTACCCAACTGCATTGTACGCAGAACAGAACCGAATAGACTACACTGAATCAATGCTTCAACTATTTTAAAAAAACAATGTGGCATAGGCATAGTCGTCTCAAACATCTTCAAACAAAATAAGCACATAAAGCATACAGCCTGGGAAGTAATCACGCAATAGAAGGAACATATTTTAGCATGAACCAATCCAACATCTGAACTATAAATGAATAAAAAAACTGAAATTTATGTTTCTCAACTCTCTTCAGAGATACTAAAATATCTATCTATCTGATGTTAAGGTTAAAGTATAAATTTTAAAATTAACTTTGGGGGTAATCCTTATTGAAAGAACGAACTACTCTATTTACAATGCATCATAACAATGATAAAATTAGACATATACCGATGATGAGATAACATAATTAGGAGTGGTCAGCAAAAGTGGGACCAAGACACTCACAAAAATAAGTTTGGCTCTCCTAATGGTTGAATCCTTGGAGCATCTCCACAAATAAGACAGAGTAACAAATCACAGCTCTGTTGCTGGATTTTTTGGATGATCTCCATACGATCGCATCAAATGAGAAACCAGTGGCTAGGTAGCTGGTATCATAATACCAATTCCACTATCGTCGTGGTATGCCACTCATCCAGTCAGCCGGTAATGCCTGATATATTGTCAGTTTTCATCCTCATTTAGTGTATGGAGCAACTTTGATGGCTCTTTGCTGGTGAGATTTAGGGCGCTCTTCTGCCCTACTGATTATTGAATTGTTTGTGGCAGAAGAAGCATAAGCCAAGTCAGTAGAAATTGCTTTTGGCTTGAAATTATACAGAACCAATCAATTGAGGTAACTTAAGTATTGCCAATTTGTTTGTCTAGCATATCTTGTTATAATCCTGCGGCTACCTTGTGATAATAATTATTGTATTTAGTCAGCTGTTCACAATACCTGAAAACCGATATTGCATAATACTACCTTGACCTTACGGGAACGTCATATAATACTGCGAATGACTCCCAAAACCGGACCTGCAGCTAACAACGCAACACTACATGAAACTTGTACACATCACAAAAACTTTGCATGATGTTCCAGCATGTTGAAGCATGAACGTCTTGACTACAATGCGCAATTAATGATTAGCTGGACCATGGCTTGAAATTGCGAGCGCAGCATAAAAACATGACATGAAAAACAATTCCTGTTACAGAAAGGAAATTTCTGACACATTATGACGTGATACCACATGCACTCGAACATTACCTGAAAATACATATGGGGCACGCAATATCCTGCAAGATAGTGTGTCAAAATCTTATTTGGTTTGGTGTGTCAAAATCTCACACAGGCAGTGAAACACAACTCCGTGTGCGAAACACAGTGGTTACATTAATATATTGTGCATCACTGTACAATCTATGCAAGGCTTGTCAATCAATGTTTTAGCTGTTAGGTATTATTAACGCTGTTCCTTCTGCACCATTCCGTGGAATTTTTCTTTGCTGGCTCTGTTCGATGTTTCTGCATTACATTTACTTTAATACTGAGTCCTGAAATTAATGTACGTTACCTCTCCTGTCTTGTAACAGAATTGCTTAATTCACAGATGCACATTTATGTTGCAGTTTTCAGAACCTTGTTGGACATTAATTTTAGTGACGAATTTGTTTAGTCTATCACTGCAAACTTCAATTATTCTCCCTAAACCAATTTTTTACCATTGAGAATGTTCAGTTTCATTTATTTGTAACCAAGTCTTTTTGTGCTGCACAGACTCGCTGGACTACCTAGCTACTCACATCCTGCCAAAGCTCGAGCGCAAGCTTGACAACCACTCCAGAGTGTTGAAGCAGATTAATCTCTACCGAAGTGCCAAGCTTGCAGACGCCATACCCGAGTATCTCGACGAATACATCAAGCGAATGTTCGCTACTGTGCCGCTGCATCAGCTTGACATCACTGAGCCTGATGTCGAGGATCCGGACCTTGAGGACCCTAACCTCCTGGATGGCTTGGATGATGACGACCTCAAGTTAAAGAAAGAAGATTGCGATTTGTTTAGTGATGATGACATTGATTCGCAGAAAGATGATTGCGAGTTGTACGAAGATGATGACTTCGAGTTGGGCGAGAGCGAACACCACTAGGATGAGGGTTGTATTGCGAGTTGTATGATGACAATGTTTTACGTCATCTTACGACCCATAGGATGATGATAATAATGTCAAGTTGGAAGAGTTGGATGAGTGTGATGATGAGTCGAACAGTGATTGTAGTATTGTAAGCCCATTCCGTACTACTGACAGGCATGCAACCTTTCTTTGAGCCTAGTCATAGAATTAGAAGCACTTCGTCCTGTATGTCCCTGCGAGGTGGTCTGAGCTACTTAGGCTGCAGAGCACGACTCTAAGGTATGAGTTTGACGAGGTTAACTAGTGTTTTCTATATTTGTTATTAGTGAAGGTTATATCGTGCTGATATAGTGAGATTAATCATTCATTTGTGTTCATTGTAAGTATTGTTGTTCGTCCTTTAGGGCACAGCGGAGTCCTTCTCCTCTCGCGACTCCTCTCATTATGTCGCTACTCTCATTATTGCCCTCAGATAACTTTATGCGCCTCTTGACTTAATAGTTTGGATAATTAGACTTGTAAAGATGTTTTGTTTATTAAAACCAATAATGTTGAACCTTTCTTGAACCTTGAGATAACAATCTCTCAATGATGATCAACTTTTAAAAAGCTGACTGGCTCGCCTACACGGCAGCCATCGAAGCGGCTCTCGAGATGGTCCCTCCCCCCACCTCGTGTGGCGGATAGTCGACCTTGAGAGAAGTCCTGACGACCGCTGCCAGACAGCATATTCCTGCCGGATTCCGCAAGGATTTCTCCCCATCAGTCAACCCTGGCACCCGGTTGCTCAACGAGCAACGGGATGACATCAGGGCGCGCAACCCAACCGACCCTCGGCTCCCAGAACTAAACCTGGAAATCGGCATCTCCATACAGGCCCACGCCAAATCGGGACGAATATCCCCTCGACAGGGACTTCTCCCCTTTCACCCCCGACATGATGAAGCTCGCCATCGCAGCCGCCAACAACTCTTCCGCTCGGGGTCCTGACGGCCTCACGGTTCTTCATCTTAAGCACCTCGACCCGCGTGGCCTCCAGTTCCTTACCCGTATTTTCAACATCTCCGTCTCTACAGCCTCTATCCCATCCAATTGGAAAAATTCAATAATTATTCCAATACTCAAACCGGGCAAACCTGGAAACCAGGGCTTCTCATACCGCCCTATCTCCCTCCTCTGCCCTGCAGCCAAGATCCTAGAACGTCTTGTGCTCCCTTACATCTTGGGATATCTCACCACCGTCCCCTCGCAACACGGTTTCAAGCCGGGACACTCCACTGTAACCGCCTTCCTCCCGCCCACGCATCAGATCGCGATGGGTTTTAACTCTCCAGTAAGGCATGCACTATCTCTAGGCGGGTGGATAGCTAGAGGTCAGCATAGCCCAAGTCCACAGTGCAATTCATATACCTTCCCGAGCGTAACGCAGCCGGGCATCTTCAGGCTTTTGACACAAAGCGCCCACCACAACAGCACCGTTCAGTCACAGGCCGCAGCGCATACAGGCCGGAGCACAACCAGCCGGAGCGCAACAGGCCCTACCGCAACAGCTACTCCTAACGTAACTTAACCTAACCTAACCTGCGCCGCCTGTTGCGGTAGGGCCTGTTGCGCTCCGGCCAGTTGGGCTCCGGCGCTGTGAAGCAGTGGCTGTGTTGTGCAAAGCGGATTTACTGTTAGCCGGAGTTACCCACAGCTCATTGATCTGAGGCTATGTGTAGATATTGCATGCTGATGTTTGGCGTTGGGCCCAGGGCCTGTTTACGAGTCAATTTTGTTACCCACGGCTGCGCTCCCGTGTGTGCGACGTATGAACTTTATTGCCAACATGTGAATAAACTCAGCTTTCTTGAGTCATGAATCCGTTATTGAGACCTTGAGGGCCGGGGCTGCTCGTGAGGTCTGGTGCTGGGCAGTCATTCCTGCATGTAAGTTGATTTCTTTTGAAACACTCGTAGTAATAACAATTTATTATTGAATATGGCAATAAATTAGGCATAAAATGATAGTAAAAAAAATAAGACTGCGAATATTTATCACTTGGATGCATATCTCATGCGCAACAGCTCAAACTGATTCAGTTACCCATCAATAAATAAGAAGTGTGACTAATTGACATATTTCGAGCATCGACCTCATTGTCGATAACACAAATATTTCGATGAAACATTTTCACTTATAAGTACAATTCGTCAGAAAAAAAATCAAAGTAATGAGTTTTCAAAGTACAAATTGTTTTTTATACGTATGTACAAGACATGTATTGACAATATTAACCGACCAAACACGACATTTGCCTCTTTAGAAAAAGGGGAATTTATTTCTGTTATATATATATTTTGTAGCTGATCAGCTAGAAACTGAAAATATACCTAGTCCTGTCGCAGATGGATGTCCATATCCGCCGATATGCATGAATTTATTAGGATGAATCTTTATGGTGATGGCGAGCAAGCGATCTGTCACGTCTGTCTTTCACTCTCAACCCGCCAATTGTATTTGCTTAGTCAAGCCATGCGTGTATGAACATATAACATCAAAGAGAATATATGTAATGTGGATCTTTTAAAAGCGTTATCTCAATAAGAGTTATTTCAAAGAAGCATTAGAGACTACCAGCCCAACGTTGCTCGGAACACATTTGAGACTTGATATATGAGAGTCCCTTTCTCTCTCCTATAATTCTGAGTGTAATTATCAGCATATAATACAGTTAATTATAGCAAGTCCCTTTCTCTCTCCTATAATTCTGAGTGTAATTATCAGCATATAATACAGTTAATTAAAGTTTTATTTTATGCAAGTGAGCAACTTTGACATCTCCTCCGTGAATTACCATAATACATTACGACAGGATTTATCGTTTTTTTTATACCTTGCCCTCTATGTATAGCTCTATTCATAAAAATTTCGGCAACAACATGCAAGTTCGTATAAGAAACGATATCATGATATTTCGCCCGCACCAATCTTTTCAATAGCTGTTGCTCCAGGCGTCCAAAATTGAATAGGTACCAAAACGGCAGAATAATTCCTGTATATTAATTTAAGGTTGACTTGAGACCGGATCGCCACGACTGAGCATGCGCGTTTTTGAGCTATGACTAAGCTATTCCACAACAGCAGCCAAACCCAATCCGCCATTGTCGACAGTATGTATATTCATTAACCTTTACCACAACAAGCACATACATCATGTATGTGTGTGTTTCAGTGCAGAAAATTGCTGAACACGAAACAATTTTTTCTCTGTAATATGTAATAATTTTCTTGTCACGACCGCATGATATATGCAACCATCAGTCGGATGTGCTGCGATGCCAGAAAGCTAATGGCGGAATTATTCGTAAATTTATCCAGAGAAAAACATGCGTTTAAAAATTACTCTTTTCGAAGACAGCACTTCAAGAGAAGCCAATGTCTCCGATGTTACACATGTACAATGAATTTCTAATTTTATTATCAAATATTAAACAAAATAATTTCAATTTTTATTTCCAGAATTTAAAAAAATTTACATTTTTCAAAGTTATTTATTCTGTCAATTGATACATGCATTGTCTCCGACTTTTCGCAAGTGTGCAAAATTTCAGATCGATTGGACAGGTAGAAGTGTGTTAAATATCGATTATAAGATGTATGTAGCAGACAAAATTTTGTTTCAATTTGTTTAATTTCATAAATAAAATTTTTAAAATTTTCAAAATTATATATTTTGTCATTTGATTCATGCATTGTCTCCAACTTTACGCAAGTGCGCAAAATTTCAGATCGATTGGACAGGTAGAAGTGTGGTAAATATCGAGTATAAGATTTGTAGCAGACAAACAAACAAACAACAAGGAGTGAAGTTAAGGAGAAATGTTGTAATAATATACGTTTAAAAATTACTTTTTAAAGACAACACTTCCAAAGAATCCAGTGTCTCCAATCTTAAAGACGTACCATGAATTTCTCATTTAATTATCGAATATTAAAAAAATTAATTTTTCAATTTTTTTAATATATAATTTTTTTTTTAATNTAAACGCACAAAATGTCGTTAAAAAAACTTGAAAATCCTTAAGTTTTGCTCTAAGCATGAAAGCAATACATATTACATGGTCATAATAATCTAGTTTTGCCCCTAAATCCACGAGATAGATTGTGGAGTCCATAGTTATCCCATACGAGTGATATGACCGCATACAACGAAACAGTTTCCCATCGAATCTATTCTATGATATTTTGTAGAAAACAGAGTTCTATGGCATACACGTATATTATGGACGTTGGATGTATGGAATGGAATTTATTTATGGAATTAAATGTACCTCAAAGTCCGGTAATCGAAATATTCATTTAATTTAGAAAGCTTTTGCCGGTAGTGCCATCATCTTCATTTGTGTTGCTGAAGTCGGCCTAACAGGTCACGGTTTCGCTCGCTTCCTTAGATTTCGAAACCTTAGAGTAAGTGAATATATTTATTTTCCTACATTTAACTGTGAAATTTTAACCTTAGCAAATTTTCATATAAATGGATATTATAATTTATGGTATAAATTTAATGGAAGCAAGCAGCACGATACATTAATTGTATTTGATATTTTAAATTTCGACATAGTGCAAATTTTTTAAATTCAAAATTTTTTCAACGTATCAAATTTTTTCATAGCATAATGGTTGAAACTTATTATACACGCATGAAAGCTGCTATAAATTGTTTATTAATGTGCTAATTGCTTATTAATAATCATGTAATTGCAAGATTATTTTTGTGAAATTGATTATTTTGATTGTGTTGATTATCCGCTGTTTTTCTCGACAGCAGACGACTGACTGACTTGACTGACACTAACTGACTTGACTGAAACTTTACTGACACTGACTTTACTGACTGACAATGACTGATTTCACTGACTGACTTTACTGACTCACTGACTGATACTGACCGACTGACTGACTTGACTGACACTGACTGAGTTTAGTGACTGATACTGACTGACATGACTGAGACTGATTGACTTTACTGACTGGACTGACTGACTGACGGACTGATACTGACTTTACTGACTGATACTGACTGACTGACTGACATGACTGAGACTGATTGACTTTACTGACTGGACTGACTGACTGACGGACTGATACTGACTTTACTGACTGATACTGACTGACTTGACTGACTGACACTGACTGACTGACTGACTGACTGACTGACTGACTGGACTGACTGACTAAGCGACTGGGGCGGCCGCACGAGGTGCCGCAAAGACCACTTCTCGAGCGTCTGGCAACAGCGCCGCATAAGTGGCTATGATCAGCCTCTTCGCGTTCACGCTACGCTTTACGAAAATATCTCCAGGTGGAGATAAAAAGTAGGCAGACATAGGAATATAGATGTATAAAGGCATGTATGGATGCAACTATATACTCTGAACTGGCCACACTGCCCACCCAGTGTCGGCATTGGCCAGCCATTTTTAGCGCATTTTCTCATTTATGGAAAAATG